AGGCCGTCTCATCGTCGTTGGTGATGAGACCTACCACTGTGGTGTCGTCCGCATACTTCACAATGATGTTGGAGTTTCTCGTGGCCGTGTAGTCGTAGGTGTAGAGTGAGTACAGGAGAGGGCTCAGCGCACACCCCTGCGGAGCACCAGTGTTCAGTGTGACGGGGGATGAGGTGGTGCTGCCTAGTCTGACCACCTGGCATCTGTCAGACAGAAAGTTAAGGATCCAGCTGCAGAGGGAGCTGCTCAGTCCTAGATCCTGCAGTTTCCTGTCCAGCTTCGAGGGAACGATGGTGTTGAATGCTGAGCTGTAATCTACAAACAGCATTCTCACATACGTGTCTCTCTTCTCCAGGTGTGACAGGGCAGCATGGAGTGTCAGGGCTATGGCATCATCAGTGGACCTGTTGTGGCCGTATGCAAACTGTAGAGGGTCCAGTGAATCGGGCAGTGCAGAGCAGATGAAGTCCCTGACCAACTTCTCGAAGCATTTGCTCACAATGGGGGTCAGGGCTACAGGTCGCCAGTCATTCAATGAGGAGATGGTGGAGGATTTGGGTACAGGGACAATGGTGGCCATTTTGAAGCAGGCTGGGACTACCGACAGAGAGAGGGAAAGGTTGAAGATGTGTGTAAACACTCCAGCCAGCTGAGCCGCGCATGACCTGAGGACGCGGCCGGGAATCCCGTCCGGACCACTAGCTTTGCGTGCGTTCACCCTTCTGAAGAACTCCCGCACATCCTCTACAGAACTCTTCAGTGAGGCGGTGCAGGATCCGAACTATTTATAAAGAGCACATAACAGGAAGTACCATCTGTGTGGGTGACAAACATGGAGTCGCGGCTGCAGGAATAGAGACCAGAGTGTACGGGTGAACGGTGTTCTGTCAAAAAGCGTTCATTTATGAGTCTGAGTGATGTAATTGAGCTTTCACATCTGGCTCGGCCCAGCCCTGGTAGGGTTATTGTGTTCACATCTGGGCTAATCTGTGTGTTTTCTGTGCTCAGCTAACACTTTTTTTTTCTGGCCTGCTCTCTGGCGGTCAGCTTGGTGCAGAACCAACCCAACACACCCACTACCGGCTGATTGGCCGGTTGAAGTTAATTCCTATCTATACCTATAGATGGAGCCTCTGGTTAGCTACGTAGCAGTAGCGTTACGTACCGCTGAGCCTGTAGCTTAGTTAAAGCGATCAGTAAAACAAAAGCATACAGGTAAAAAAGCAAAGAAAGCCCTTCACGGGGGAAAAACACAAGTTAACAGACAAATCTAGAGAATAAGAAAATTAAATGCAAGGAGAAAGACGTGCGGACAAGACGACGTTTGTTTCCAACTCTGTGCATGCTCGACCTAACTGAATGGTTGGTGTATTCACGGCATGATTGGATCATTTCAGTTAGTGTCCATTTATAGACAAACACTTGGGATTTCTGATCAACCACGATTTAAATCAGATGAGGGTAATCTGGCATATGTAAACGTAGCTAGTGGCTGCTAGAATCAGCCAGCGACAGCTTCCTGCATGCGCGATTTATTATCGGTCCAGACGTAGGCGTAAACATCTACTGAGCAACTCAGACCTTCTGCTCCAGCTGCTGCAGCACGAGAACCGACTGCTGAGAGAAGAGCTCACGGGAACACCGCTGCTCAGTGAGAGAACAGGAAGCAGTGTGCCTCATGTCAGAGTCTGCAAAAGAAACACTGCTCACGGCCGCCATTGTTAACTCATTTAAGGAGGACACCACAAACTTCCCAGCACACCTTAGCCCCGCCCACGTACTCGGAGACATCTGTGTTCCTGAGAAGGATGTGGGAATGGCCGCATGGGACGGTCCGGGCTCACCTAGATGTGAAAGTGGCCTTACCTTCAGAATCAGAAGGTTTTCATAATAATAATAACAACAATAATAACATTTCATTTGTATTGTGCTTTACATTTAAAATCTCTAAGCGTTTTATTGCCATATATGCGAGAATCACATTAGGGAATTACTGCAGTAAAAAACAAAGATAAAAATAAGAGATGAGCAAATATAGGAAGTAAGAATCATGATAAAATAATATTATAAAGTGGCGACACTTAGAGAAAAGCCTACTGTGTAGGGCTGTCGCGGTTGAGGAATTCCCCCTGCGGTGATTCAGGGTGGCTTAATATTGCGGTGTGCGATATTATTGCAGCCCTTTTTTATTGCAGTACTATCTAAACATAATGTTTACACATTTAAAAAAGGTTAAAAATTGCCGTGCCTTCTTTAATAACACTTTACTGAATGCAGATCAAAGGGCAGTAACAACATTGTTTGTCCGACAGTCGGAGTCCGACTGAACTTAAAAACAACAAAATTCAGGAGAAGGTTAAACTTTTAAATGCAAATTTGGCTGCAGCATCTAACAAATAAGAAACAAGTCCCCATTTTGTTTAGTTGTTTAAAATCAAGCATAAAAAATTGCATGTACCGTGCGCGCGCGCGCCGGGCGCACTATCATTTCACTTTCACACACACGAATGACGGTGATTTATAGCTCGGTCATGTCCGTGTTACCCACAAGGAAAACCAGCATGTTAACCATATACGGTTTGAGAGAGAATCTGAGAGGGGTGGCAACATTTGCAGCAACACTGAAAAGCCTCTCGGATGGTGCGCTTGTTGCACTAACGCACACGTACCTGCGTGCGACTCTGGCGAGCAAAGGGAATCTCTCCCGGTTGTTGCTCCACCATGTCAGGGGGGTTTTCTTTAGGGTGGATGCATTCCTCCTGCAGGTAGCGAGTGAGCTCCAGCTCGGCTCAAACTCTCTTCGGGACGGCTGCAGAAGCAGTGCTTGTCCGGGACTTCAGCAGGTCTCCGAGCGTTTATTTATTTATTTATTTTTGCCGCTGGTGGCAGCTCTGTCTCGGCAAAGGACTCTGGCTGCGCAGCAGCTGACGTACTGAAAACCAAAGTGCTCCCACAGGAGCGAAGTAACGTTTCGTTTTGATACCAGTGCAGCCATCCTTCTCAACATGCATCATTGAGTTGAACCAAGTTCAGTAATCGCGGTGGCCCATGATGCAGCGCGGTGGGCTTCTTCATATCGCGATATTTCATTTTTGCGGTTACCGCGACAGCCCTACTACTGTGTAGGTACTAATCAGAGCAGATCAGCTCAGGTACAAACAACGTCATGTCAGGTGACTGGAACCACACCACGGGAGTGGGTAACCCTAGGATTGTCGTTCACGAGTCCAACAGCAGACGGGAAGAAGCTGTTCTTATGGCCAGAGGTTCTGGTCCGAACGGATCTGATCTGATTCTCTCCTCTCTGGTGCATTGAGTGAGATGTAAGCTCACACACACATAGTAGTCCGTCCCAGACCCTGGTCCAGATCTGCCCCAATCCAGGTCTCTGCAGAACACCTAATGTTCTCTCCAGGAACTCAGTTTAAAGTGTTTACCAGTTTTTCATTAACACAGATTATAATCCTGGGATTAGAAGAACCTCAACCAGCTTGTGTGTCTGTAGGAACCATCTGAGACCAGATCCGGAACCAAACTGGACTGAATGTAAAACCTTAAATGATCATTAAATTAAATAAAAACAAGGATTAAAGCTCCTTAGAGAATAAAAGTTAATCTATGCCTCACCTCCTATTTATTAAATGTTTATCAGCTATCATCATCATTATTAAAGTGGGCGGATCTTTATGAATAAAGGTTGTTCTTCTGTATAAGTAAAGTTTAGTCCACTTTAGTATGAAAGCTGTGGCGTCAGTACAGAAGGTGTTTTTATCCAAAGTCCCTGCTGTCAACAAAACTAACCAGGGGTTCCTGGCGCAGAATTCCTGCTGGGAACAGTGGGATTAGGGAAACTAGTTTAAACTGCAGTTTTAAATCTAAGAGAAATAAATAAAAATTTCTTATTGTGGCGGCTGAACATCAAAGACAAGTTCTGGATTATTCCGATGAAATAATCTCTCAAAAACACAGGTGTGGTGGTTTAATCTGTGCCTTGGTTGTCTTGCTGTTACTGGTTACATCTAATCACTTAACAAACCTTAACAAATAAATAAATTCTGATTTTTTCTCATTTTAAACAGATATGAAAGGTGACAGAAAACCAAGCTTTTACTTTGAAGGAAAAACGAACCAATCACAAATACTGATAACCACTTATTTTAAAGCCATTTCCTTGTTTTGTTTATTTGTATTTTGACGCATCTTGTGTGATCGCTGACTCTTCATCAGAAACTCCACAACATTTAAATAAAAACAAATATAACCCATGGATAGTTCTTCGTTTATAGACTACACAGAAAAATCCACCAGATTATTAAGAACTCTTGGAAAGATTGTGTTCGAGTCAGATTGATCTCTAGGTTGTATTTTTTGGTGTAACGTGTAAGAGCAGCGATCATTTGTGGAACAAAAATAATAAACCAAATCATCATTCCAAGCCTCCTCTGCTCTCCGGGATAGAAAATGTGGGATTTAAGATTTTCCAGGTTCTCCAGAAACATCCAGTCTCTTGTAGCCAGAGGGCCAGGGCTTCTCTTCGGATTAAATCTACTTCCCTGACACTCTTTTGTCACATGAAGCTCAAACCAACATTAAGTTTTAGGTTTTATGAGACTATTGTTGGGATTTCATCTCACCAGGCTGGCGTTCGACGCTGCTACGCAACTGCGAAGTCTTAGCTTTTTCAGATAGCCACCTAGCACAGCTGCCTGGCCGTTGGGTGGACGAGCTTTTAATCCAACTACAGCGTTTGTTTCCGTCCCAAAACTGGTTAAGGTAAAGCGTTAGTACCCGGGAGCATTATTAAAGACCGGCACCGTCGCCGCCGAGCCAACAGCAGCGCCCAGGACTCTCTAGCTGCCTGCTGTAAAATGGCTTCTGTTCGATAATGAGTCAGGAAAACAGTTCGCTAGCCGTTTAGCATTAGCCAGCTAGACCTCCAGCTAAGCTCCGTACAAAAGATCCACCCAGCGAACAATCGCAGCCCTTAAACGTCTTCTTACCATTCTTAGTTCGTTGTGGGGATCGTGTAATCGCTGGAAAGGTGTTTTAATCGCGTCCAGGCTCGGTATCCTCCGCTGTGTTCCGCCGAACGGAGCTCCTGCTGGCCGTTGCTAACTGCGATCGTTTCGCTGCTCCTCACAAAGATCAGAACAAGGATGCGTTCAGGGTCCGTCGGAAAATCAGCTTGCGTGATGAAATCTCACGAATACGCTTAGAATGACACATTACAGTATGCCCAAAATAATTGTGTCAACATTCTCTTTCATTAACACTATTATTCTATATCTTATTTTACTTTCTTAATATCTATATTTTACTTTACTTGCTGAATTACTCTGAAAAAGAAAGAAACCGAAACCTATTTAATAATGTTTTATTAATATTATTAATTGCACAAGAAAATAATCAAGTGACAAATAAAGGCGAGCTCTACTGGTTTGATGTTTTACAAACACACTCACGCACGCACGCGCACGCACACACGCTTGTTTTTATGTTTGTGTGGCCCTTCATTGACACCCTGCTCCATGTTAGTTACTCCACTATGCCTACCCATACCCTATCCCTAACTAATGCCATACCTCTAAAAACAAGTTTTAGGGTGCTCCACATTGTGTGGACCAGCAAAAAATCCCCACAATGTAAAAATGTCTACACAGTACAGGTTATAGTTAAAATTTGTCCACTTAAACCTATAAAGACAAGTATACACACACACACACACACACACACACACACACACACACACACACACACACACACACAAACCACCACCAAAAAACATCAATTATAGTTGTCTTTCAAAATAAAAGGAACCCATTCATTTTGTAGGTTAGAGACAACAGATTGCCCAATTTGGAGAACAATTTGATTTTACGAATTAAAACAGGTTAAATTTCTTCTTTTTAAACATTTTAATGAATTCAAACAGGCCAACGCAGCGGGCAAGCGCATCTTTATGATTTCGCAGCTCAAAATCTTTCACTGAATGCATCATCTGCATCGCGCAGAAAGGTCTACTGTTGAAAACTACAATTATGGTTGCGGGTGATACCTGTGGGGCATGCGCAGTTCAGTCCTTTGAGGCGATATTTGAATTATTTATGCCAGAGAAGCACGACTCTGACATTTCATCAGTTTATTTTAACTTGTTTTTATATACGCGAGACAAAATACCCGAGCAGTAACATTAAAATAATCAGAATGATCACGCGCACACACACAGAACCAAATGTTCTCCACCAGTGGTTTCTCTATTCCACCAGCAGAGGGCCATCTGCTGGTGGATCATGGAACTGCATCAGAACAGCGGATTCTAACCTGATTCAAACCGATCATCAAACACGAAAATGGCTCCTACTCAGTTTCACAGAGATGGAGCTAAAATGTAATATTTCAGTAACTAAGATTCCTACCTATCTGGTGAAATCCTGTGTGAAAATAAACATTAAAACATTAAAAATGTGCCGGACAACATCTTCAAGAATGTTTCTGATTTAAATTAAATTATTAAACCACATAATATATTTATTTTACGAGACACGTCTACAGAGTAACACCAGGTTATTTCAGATTTGATTACATTTTAAGACCCTTTTTACAACTATAACATTTATTTGGTTGTTTTCTCTCTGCTTTCACCTGTTACCACACCTGCCTTTCAGCCATACAGACAAAAAACAAACAAACAATTAAATGCAAAATACTTAAAAAAAATGTTACCAGCTTAATAATGAAGCTAAATAAAAACCTAAAGTATTGAGATGTTTGTATTAAAGTCTGAGTGGACGTGTGCAGCTGTGAGTCGTATGAGGTTAGCTTTGTCAGAATAACAGAAAAGCATCAGACGACTGGCATCATTCCACAAACTAAAGCCTTTCAGCGACGAGTCAAACTTTATGTTTTAGGTAGAATTTATGAACTATGTCGCAATAAAACACAACATAACAACAACAATAATAATAACACATGAGCACGTTTACAAAACATGTTTCATGTCAACAGCTGTTCACAACAGCCACTGTAGTTTTTAAACCAATAGTTGTGTGATTTAACATAAATGTTAATATATTTATTAAAGTGGGCGGGTTGCATTCAGCTGCCAGTCATGACGAGAAGTTGGCGTGATGTCATCGTGTCAGGACAGGTGTCTCCTCCACCACCTGCTTCCTGATCCGATGAAACAAATCATGTAAAGCTTAGAGGACAACCACACATGAAAAACTAACACTCTAAAAACAAACTTCCTGTAAAATTAGGTTTAAAATTTTACAAAAAACATCTCATGGGTTTTCTTAACCAGCAGTTTGGGTTTCCTCTTCGCTTGCATCATTTCCTGCTGCTGCTTCAGACGAACTTCCTCTAGACTCAAACAGCCTCCTGAACGCAGCACAAACACAAACAACCCATAAACCATAAGGCACACTGGTACAGATGAGCCGTCTCCCTTGGCAACAGGTCTCTCACCTACACTACTGGGGTTGATGGACACGTAGGACATCGCTCTGCTCAGACGAAGCTCCTCCAGAGCAGCAAGCTCCGCCTCTGCCTCTGTTGAGCCAATCAGACGCCACAAACATGAAAACAAATGTCATCCAGCTGATGAAACACGTAAACAAACATCATCCAGCTGATGAAACGTGTAAACAAACGTCATCCAGCTGATGAAACGTGTAAACAAACATCATCCAGCTGATGAAACTCGTAAACAAACATCATCCAGCTGATGAAACGTGTAAACAAACATCATCCAGCTGATGAAACGTGTAAACAAACATCATCCAGCTGATGAAACGTGTAAACAAACATCATCCAGCTGATGAAACACGTAAACAAACATCATCCAGCTGATGAAACTTGTAAACAAACATCATCCAGCTGATGAAACGTGTAAACAAACATCATCCAGCTGATGAAACTTGTAAACAAACATCATCCAGCTGATGAAACGTGTAAACAAACATCATCCAGCTGACGAAACGTGTAAACAAACATCATCCAGCTGATGAAACTCGTAAACAAACATCATCCAGCTGATGAAACGTGTAAACAAACATCATCCAGCTGATGATACGTGTAAACAAACATCATCCAGCTGATGAAACTTGTAAACAAACATCATCCAGCTGACGAAACGTGTAAACAAACATCATCCAGCTGACGAAACGTGTAAACAAACATCATCCAGCTGACAAAACGTGTAAACAAACATCATCCAGCTGACGAAACGTGTAAACAAACATCATCCAGCTGACGAAACTTGTAAACAAACATCATCCAGCTGACGAAACGTGTAAACAAACATCATCCAGCTGACGAAACGTGTAAACAAACATCATCCAGCTGACGAAACGTGTAAACAAACATCATCCAGCTGACGAAACTTGTAAACAAACATCATCCAGCTGACGAAACGTGTAAACAAACATCATCCAGCTGACGAAACTTGTAAACAAACATCATCCAGCTGATGAAACGTGTAAACAAACATCATCCAGCTGATGAAACTTGTAAACAAACATCATCCAGCTGATGAAACGTGTAAACAAACATCATCCAGCTGATGAAACTTGTAAACAAACATCATCCAGCTGATGAAACGTGTAAACAAACATCATCCAGCTGATGAAACGTGTAAACAAACATCATCCAGCTGATGAAACTTGTAAACAAACGTCATCCAGCTGATGAAACGTGTAAACAAACATCATCCAGCTGATGAAACGTGTAAACAAACATCATCCAGCTGACGAAACGTGTAAACAAACATCATCCAGCTGATGAAACTTGTAAACAAACGTCATCCAGCTGATGAAACGTGTAAACAAACATCATCCAGCTGATGAAACTTGTAAACAAACATCATCCAGCTGACGAAACGTGTAAACAAACATCATCCAGCTGATGAAACTTGTAAACAAACATCATCCAGCTGATGAAACGTGTAAACAAACATCATCCAGCTGATGAAACTTGTAAACAAACATCATCCAGCTGATGAAACGTGTAAACAAACATCATCCAGCTGATGAAACGTGTAAACAAACATCATCCAGCTGATGAAACGTGTAAACAAACATCATCCAGCTGATGAAACTTGTAAACAAACGTCATCCAGCTGATGAAACGTGTAAACAAACATCATCCAGCTGACGAAACGTGTAAACAAACATCATCCAGCTGATGAAACTTGTAAACAAACATCATCCAGCTGATGAAACGTGTAAACAAACATCATCCAGCTGATGAAACGTGTAAACAAACATCATCCAGCTGATGAAACGTGTAAACAAACATCATCCAGCTGATGAAACGTGTAAACAAACATCATCCAGCTGATGATGCACGAAGGTTTTACTCACTTTTCTGGATTTCTCTCCGTTTCTTCGGGTTTGGGGGGATGACTGTGAATGCTTTGTTACTAAAACACAAAAATGATGTTTTATTATCTTCATGTTAACTTTTTTGGTTAATTTTCTATTCTCTTCATCTAATTTCAGCTTGAATAAACATAAATCAAGTTCATGCTCTTATTTTCTCGGCGTAGTTAGGACTTCCTCCCCTTCTGAAGGATAAAGTGCTGTTTTCATCTAAATGGCTCGCTTCTGCCAGCTGCTGACTCACGTCAGCATCTGTGAACTCTGCACATTTTTAACAACGTCTGCATTAAAAATGTCTCCCTTCATGCTAAACCCCCACAAGAGTCTGGATTTCCTGTGTCACGTATGTGTGGACCACCGCTCATGTTCATCTTTCAAAAATCATGACTGACAGAGATAAGAGGTGACGTTGATGTTGGCGAGCTACAAGGAATTGTTCTCGTGTGTTTTCAGATGAGAAGGAAAAGCTGCGTTTCCAAACTCAAGCAGATGTAAACAATCAGGACAAAAACAACAACAAAAGCATCACAAAATGAATCAAATACGCTCAAGCTGAACAATCTGAAGATGCCACATCTTCTTTCATATATTTGTGTTTATCTGAGACTTTTTTACCTTTAAATTCACTTTTCATGTTTTAATTTGACGGCTTTTTCCTGGCGATGCAGCACTTTGGTCAACAGATAATGTTTGAAATGAAAGTTAATCTGCACGATTTCTCTGTCAAAACATTTATATTGTTAATTAAACTGTTCCTTATCAGGGTTCCCAACCACCGGGTACCGGTGTCGGGCTCCACAAAAACAACTACAACAAAAAAAACTTTATACTAGTCTACAGGATATTTTATTTAGAAAATACAAACAATAATGCTGTTTTGATGGAACTAAAATTGGCGTTTTAATTAAATTTGCACTATAAGTTTGTTAGCTACATCAATTATTGCATTTTATGGCATCATGTTGGTGTGTTCACTTTTCAGACAGACGTGCTCATTTCTTAACAACTTTTATTTTTTGTTTAAGACAACAAACTCATCTGATGACGATGAATACGACGACGGCGGTTGTGATTGTAAATGACGTCAGATTATTTTAACTTTGAACAGAAATACAAATATATCTGAAGTAATCCATGATAATCTGGTCTTTAATTTTGAAAACAACCAATTTTTTACAAAACAGTTTGTCTGCTGCTCACAGAACCACTGAGGGCTAAAAGGTCAGATTTCTAATCTGTGGCTCAGTTTTGTCAGCATGTGAAACTTCATGGGATTAACCTGCAGCGGCAGATGGTCTCAGGGAGGAGGAGGAGCAGCAGGAGGAGCAGCAGGAGGAGCAGCAGGAGGAGCTCAGGTCCAAACAGCCAAATAAATAAACTTCTGGTTTTATAAAAATGTTTTTCATCAGTTTTATTTATTCTAAATATATAAAGGATTTAATCTGACATTTTCAACGTGAGGGCCCGGCCCGGCTCAGACCCAGACCCAGACCCAGACCCAGATGGACCAAATGCTGATAAAACTGAAGGTGTTTGGATCATTTTTCTAATTTAATGGTGAACAAAGAAGACTCAGAGGCATAAAGATCACCTGCTCTGATTATTAAATCAGAAATTAAACTTTTGTTATTTTTTAAAGAAATTTCGCCCGAAAAATCACAAAATGTTTAATCCGGAGGAGGAAGATAAATTATTGTTGTGATGAAACTGCTCAGCCACTTTGGGGCGTTTCTCATTCACTTTAATAATAAAACGGTTTTAAATCTTTTAAAAGAGTTTTAGGAATGATTTTGCCTGAGAACTCACTTCTGGACCGGAACCTTCGGCTCGGTTCTGGCCCCCCGCTGCTCCCTCTGTCCCGAACACCCGATCGGGTCCAGCGGTTTCGGGTCGGCTGCAGCTTGTCTTGTGCAGCTGGAGGCTCTCCTGGGGGTTCGGCTCGTTCTGGATCCGTCCTCTGTGGGTTTAGGAGCGGTGGAACTGGACCTGATTCTCTGGCTGCAGTTCGGTTTGGAGCTTGACCCCCGCGGGTCGGTTGGGTCCCTCCGGTCCTGCACGCGCTGCCTGCAGCTTGGCGCGCAACTTTTACGCAGAGCGGAACCTCTGGGTTCGGGTTCTGTCCTTTTGGATGCTTTTCCCGGTACCGGTTTGGGCTTCTCCACCGGGTTCTTGACCGCTTCCACCGGTTTGGGTTTGAGGAGTATCGCTGAAGGCATTTTACTCTTTTCCGGTTCCGGTGCCGAACTCGGTAAAAAGAAACTTCATTTTAATAACTTTTTAAATCTCTTGATTCAGTTGCCATGGAGCTCACGCGCTACGAAAACACCTGAGTCAAGTTTTGTTGAGTAATCAAAACACTTCCTGGTTGGGATTTCAAAATAAAGTCATTACTTTCTAATAACTGAAATTATTAGATAGATAATAATTAATAATTAATAAAATATGCAACAAAATCCCTAAAGTTTCGGCTTTTATTATTGCTGGAATGTTGTTCAGCGAGTCACGTGGTTGTAATGCAAGTTTTATATAAAATATTTCATGATTAAATATATAAATGTAAATAATGTTTCGGCTGTTTATCCCCAGATCAATTCAATGTAGTTTATTTATAAAGCGCCAAATCAGGACCAGAGTCATCTCAAGGACCTTCACGCAGTAAACATTCAGTAAACAGGTCAGTTCGTAAGGAACCCAGCAGGTTGCATCGAGTCACTGACTAGTGTCAGAGTCTTTACAGCAATCCTCATACTAAGCAAGCATGTAGCGACAGTGGAGAGAAACACTCCCTTTTAACAGGAAGAAACCTCTAGAGAATCCTGGCTCAGTATAAGCAGCCATCCTCCACGACTCACTGGGGATGGAGAACACAAAACAGGCAGACAAAGACACACACACGCACGCACGCACGCACGCACACACACACACACACAGCCATATTGTGATGTCCCAGTAAATATTGTATTTGGTGAAAGATAAACTTTATTGTATTTATCCTAGTGGATCTATAATTAAAAGGGTAAACTAGTAGTAGCACATCCAACGTCAAAGAGAATAAAAAGTTATTATCAGGAGAGGGAGAATGTTTTAGTGGTTAGCAGCAGTGTGCTAGACGATGGCCCCCTCCATGAGGCCACCACAGCTCAGCAGAACATCGTTGTAGCTTCTTCTGGGGAGAAAAACACTTAGAGAGAAAATAAAGTTAACAGCTGAAATAGCAGGAAATAATACAGTTAAAGAGCAGATTGTAGAAGAAAGTAGTAGAGTGTGGAAAGTGGTCAGTGTATCCTCCAGCAGTCTAAGCCTATAGCAGCATAACTACAGAGATAACTCTGGATAATCTATCCTATTTAGATGGAGGCATGTTGGAGGCAGGGCAAGGGAGAGCCGTCTTTACCGACTGTACACGCCACCTCCCTCTACTCCCCCACTTGTCCAGATCTAGGCTAACATCAGATTTTAACCATAGGCCCTATCAAATAAAAATGTTTTAAGCCTATTCTTAAAAGTAGACAAGGTGTCTGCCTCACGGACTAAAGCTGGGAGCTTTTTTGAGACCAGAAACATGAAATTATTCCTTCATGAGGCTGAAGTAAAAATGTCCAATTCCTAGTTTTATTATTCATTAGTTATGATTGCATCTTTTATTTTGAAGTCAGCATCACCCTGCTTCCGGCGGAATGCGGATTGATGATCACACCTACAGATTAGAGAAAGCTTTGGTGGTTCGTCAGAGGATTAACGACACGCGACCATATTTATATGTCGATGCACGCGACACTGTTCGGCTCACGTGACCATAAAAACTCGGACAAATAGTTCAGTGTCCATCACTTCCGGTTCTCTGTTTCTGCAGGTTCTAAACCAGCTGTTCTCCAGACTTCCTGAAAATAATTGTCATCCGGAAACAGAACCAGAGAAGCTGTGATTGTGGAACACCTGTTATATATTTACTGGGAAGCAAGTGAATTTGTATTCATGTATGGATCCTATTTTTTAGTGTTTTCTGTTTTGAAAATGAATGAAAATTCTAATAGAAATAATAAAAAACTGCAGTGTGCACCTGTTGCTGACTGCATTACAAAGAAAGTACAGAAAAAGCTTTTATTCTGAAACAGAATACTTATATATTTTATAAATGTAGGTCATATACTGTACCCCCCCCCTTTTTTTCTATTAGCTAATTATTTTCCAGTTATAGCAAAAATTTTAATTTGTTTTATTTCTGTAATTTAAAAAAATTGTTATATTAATAATTATATAATAATTATAATATTTTTGTTTCGTTAATTTTTATGCTTATTTCTTTGTTTTGTTTCAGTTGAAAAATAAAACCAAAACAAAATAAACATATATAGAAGTATTTTCTGTGATAGCAAATATATTATCTAGTCAAATAAATAAATAAATAAATAAATTAAAGCAGGTGCTACGGTCCTCCTGACCGCCAGGGGGCGCAGTTCCGCCTTCCTCTCGGAGCTCCAGACCTTCCATCGCTTTGCTCCAGCAGCGGACTGACCAGGCCCCTCACAGCTGCTACACGGTGGCCCTGAGCCGGGCTGATTTCCGCCGCAGACCCGGCAGGTGTGACAGCTGCTGGTTGACCGGAGACCGGCAGACCCCATAACCCCCCCTGGATACCGGATTAACGGACTACTCTGCGGACGAAACCCCGGGCTGTAATGAAACCATAAACAGAGTGCGACACGCATGCATCCACGCATAAACACATGATAAACGGGCTCCTGCTGCGTGATTTCTGCGTTTGGGCTCCGTGCGGGGCTCCAGGGCAGCGTTCGGGGTCCTGCGGCTCTATATGCGGATTACCGGGAGGGGAAGCGGACGCGGTGCTGTCAGACGAGGAAGTGAAGCATCAACACGCCCTTCGGAGCCCGCTGAAGCAGCCCAGACCCGCTCATCTGATAACACTTTATCAACATGCGCGCGCGCTCGGATGGACCACACCTGGAGTAAACACCTGGACCACGACATCTGCAGCAGGTTGGTGATCGGAAGGCTTCCCCGTGTCCGGTGATACCTTGAAACGTCTCCAGTGTGGAGGTCTGACTCCGTGATCTCTGGCCTAACAGTCACGGCGCGCGTGTCTGGAGAGGCACCTGTCCGCGCGCCGATAGGACTGTATTTACCTGAGCCCGGATCACGTTTAGACCGAAACAGGGTCAGGTGGTCTGTGCTAGACCCGCAGCAGGGTTCAGACCCCCGGATTAAAACTACAGGTTGGTCCTAATCTGGATTAAGAAATAATCCGGCAATTAAAGCGCTGAAAACAAACATCTGGAGATTACTTAATTAAATTATAATGTTTTATAAATACATAATATAATTATAAATATATTTTAGATACTGATGCACGAGTCTTCTAGTCCCGAGTGCTGCAGGTGCTTCGGTCAGATGGTCTGGTCCTGCAGAAGACTTCCATGAAGGAGCAGCAGGGCTTGGACTGGAGAACTTTCATGCAGGATGGAGAGGATAAAGGACTAAGGATGGTTGGTTTCTGGAAGATTTAAATGATGGCGTTGATGTGAGGATTAGAGGAACCTGCTGGAGAACCTCGTGGACTCGGCCTGGATGGAGATCCGTTTTCTCCCCACTGTGGTTTAAATTCACAGACAAAGTCAGCTGTCTGGAAATAACAATCCAGATTAACAACAAGATCAAATATCTGATCACAAAAGCACCGAGTGCTTATTTTACCTGAATCCAGACGGTACGAGTCACAGATAACCACAACTGGCTATAATCTGGGATTTTAATCCAGTAAAACCTGATTCAGTACACTTTCTTAGGGTTGGCGGGTGCTGAAGCTTGGCTGTCATCATTGGCTGTTTTGAAGTTTATGCACAGAAGGTCATGACCGGTCAGTTAGAATCACACAGTTGATTGCAGCTGTCAACACGGCGGTGGAGGGGTGATGGTTTGGGCGTCTAGTCCATAGGAACTGTTCTAAAGCCTGAACCGTGTCTGGTTCTGGTTCTAACCCCTTCCTGTTTTCTCAGCTTGTTTCAGACCTGAATGATGGACAAGGAGCTGCTCCGGCAGAACCAATCTGAACAGACCTCCAATGGCTCCGCCCCCTCAACACCTACAACCCCCACTCCCCCGAGACTCATCCCCAACCCCATGCTTCTGGACTCACCCGCTCCCACACCAACACCCACCACGTCCTCCCCTCCCCCTCCTCTCACCCCCGCTCCCTCCGTCTCTGCTAGCCATGGTCCAAAGGCGGCTGTGGGCGGGGCTTTGTCTCCTCACATCCTGGTTCCAGCTCCACCTAAACCTCCCACCCTGCGAACCTACTCCCGCCCCATCCTCCCCTCCAACACTCCCAAAGCCCCCCCACATCCCTCCTCCTCAATAACAGCTCCACCCCCCTCTTCCACCTCTTCCTCTTCCCACACCTCCACCAGCCTCACCAACGGGAGCACCCGAGCCGGGTCCACCCCCACACCCATCACAACCTTCCACAACCCTGCCAGCCCACCTGGCAGACAGGTGAGTCGCAGCTTACCTGAGCATTTCTTCAAAACATAGAAATAAATAAATAGTTACTTTTACTGATGGTTTAAGTAAAAAAAAGCAAAAAAGAAAACTTTGCAAACATTAAAATCGTTCATAAAACAATAAATTTAGTTTTTTTAAGTTAGAGTAAAAAGAATAAAAACATTTAGAGAAAAGAGTTAAAATAGAAAAAAGTTACAAAGATGTGTGTGTGTGTGTGTGTATGAGTGTATGTGTATGAGTGTGTGTGTATGAGTGCATGTGTGTGTAAGAATGTATGTGTATGAGTGTTTAGGTGTGTGTGTGTGTGTGTGTGTGTGTGTGTGTGTGTGTGTGTGTGAGCTGCAGGTTCCTGCTCTAGACCAGCTGAGGTTACGTTTCCTTTCTGTTTGCTTTCATCTGTAAACTTTCACACCTTCAGCTTTAAGGCTGAATTTATTTCACTTTGTGGATCAACACACACACACACACACACACACACACACACACACACACACACACACACACACACACACACACACACACACACACACACACACACCAGGACTCTAAGCTTTCTGACTCTTACCACATGTGCCCACTCCCCACTGTTCCAGGTGTCATCGGCACATCCTGTGGGTACACCTGGTCATGTGAGAGCCAATCAGAGCCCCTCACCTGTCAGACTCCTGGGAAAAGGTCTCAAAGGGTCTGGCCAAGACCAGGTGCTGCTTAGAGCTCAGATGGTAAAAACATACACGCACGCACACACAGACACAGATGTAGTCGCTGCTGGAACAACCACCAGGAAGTGCAGCTGCAGGGTCAAAGGTCAGAACTACGTGCTGGGTTCAGGGCAGTCAGGAAAGACCGGGACATAAGTGCGTTTCTGCAGAGTTAACATTCAGTTTAAATTAGATTTAGTTTTTTCAGTTTATGTGAAGGAAATCTCACACACACGTGCGCACACACACACGCACGCACGCACACTCACACACACGCACGCGCGCGCACACACGCACACACACGAGTGTGTGAGGAAGTCGGACTGAAGCTTTAGAAATGTTTTAAATCCACTAAATACTCTGTATTATTTAATTCCTTTATTATTATTTATATCTGTAGAAAATCAACATTTTATGGTTCAGATAAAATAAAATGTTTATAAAATAGAGAAACTTGAGTTTTAATCAGATTTAATGCTAATAAACTGATTTTTTGGAGCTTTAATAATCCTCATGTTGCTGATCTCTCCTCTCGTCGTTTCCTCCTGCTCTGGTTTCTGCCTGCAGCTGATCCTTACGTCTGCTATGAGACCTGCACGCTCCTCCTCTTCCTCCTCTTCCTCTAACACCGCCTCCGCCCAGGTGAGCCTTTCTACCTGGAACCTAACTGCTTGTTGTCCTCTAATCCAGCTGGATTATTCGCTGAATGCGAGCTGGTTTTACTTCCAGATTCAGGTTTATTTTATCATCAATTGGTTTTAAACCATAAGCTGGAATCTGGGACGTAAATGTTGTCACTAACAGGATAAATGACCCCCCCCCCCCCCCCCCCCATGTGGAAAATCAAAGGTGTTGTTTGTCTGGTCTGAAGAAGCTGCTGAACAGCCTCAGTTCAGAGAAACAGAGTTTATGACCAGCAACCCCACTCCTAGCCGTTAGCGCGTCCATCCTGGACAGAGAATTTAATGTTTTTTAGTAAAATTATTAAAGTTCTTAATAAATAATTAGTAATTATGACATGAATACAGAATAATGTGCTAAATATTTGAACAGGAATGAACTTTGGTTCGCTGTCTGGTGAACCGATGGGATTACAAACTTATAAACTAATTAAAGAGCAAGTCACCCCAAACAAACATTTTTTTGATGATAAACTAAATAAACGAGTGTCTAATCGTGCTGCAGACACGTGTCGTCAATAATTTGGCACTTCAGTGCATTTTAGTTAAAATTTAAATATTCTGCCTAAAACTGGCAGGGTTGTGCCGTTGTCAGGTAAAAACTCTGCACTGTAGTTTAATTTAAATCTGCCACCGCTATTGGCTAAGAGGTATGCTATGATGTCATCTGGTACATTATGATGTCACAATGCTGTCCTGAGCCTGTGTGTGTGTGTATTTGTTAGCGGCTCCGCCCTCTCGGTCTGCCAGGCAACAGCATTTGTTGCATTTTTCAAACATGAAGTGGGAGTGGAGTTAGACTCTGGTAGGGGGTGACTTGCTCTTTAAAGGTCCAACCATCTTTATTGTTTGATTCTGCAGAATAATCCACGTTTTATCTCTTTAGTGTTACGCGTTAGTATTTATGAGCATTAATAACTTACTGTAAGATATGATATAATGGTAATATTACATGTTTTTATTAAACACCTTCATATTTTCAGAGGTTTTCCTTTATTTTGTGTTTTTTGTAACTTTTGTTTTGGTAAAATAATAAAATCCCCTCAGATTTGACTTCAACTAGCTGCCTAGCAACGGTTGCTATGATGTGATTGGATGTACTGTTTGTGGGAGGAGCTTCATAATAAACATCACACTCACCTGAATTGTTCTCTCTCTCTCTCCCTCCCTCTCTCTCCCTCCCTCTCTCTCCCTCTCTCTCCCTCCCTCTCCCTCTCTCTCCCTCCCTCTCTCTCCCTCTCTCTCCCTCTCTCTCCCTCTCTCTCCCTCCCTCTCCCTCTCTCTCCCTCCCTCTCTCTCCCTCCCTCTCCCTCTCTCTCCCTCCCTCTCTCTCCCTCTCTCTCTCTCTCTCTCCCTCAGCTCCAGAGTCTCACCCTAAGGCCTCCTCCCCCCGGGACTCTCACTATCCCCCCCTCCCTCAGGCTCAAGCCCCCCTCCTCGGTGCCGCTTCTCTCTCGCCCCAACACCCCTACCTTCCCTCCTCTCAGGCCGCGACCTCAGCCCAGCACCACGGCGACAGAGAGTCCGGCCACGCCCAGCCGCCACCTCCCCGTGCCCCCTCCATGTAAGGGCCCAGTTTGGTCCCAGAGGGCTCCAGAACCCTCAGAATGAACTGTTTGAATCTTTAATGAGGTTTAATCAACTCCTGAGAGAAACAACCAGCCTTGAGGCTCCGCCCACAATCCACCATGTCTCTGGAGCCATCGGAGCTCCTCAGGTGGTTTGGTTCTGGTCTCAGGGCGGGTCCCTCAGAACCGCCTCTACAGCTGAGAACCACCATGTTTATGCTGCTTTAGCAGCAGCTGGAGTTTGATGCTTTTTCAACAGGAAGTGATTTTATTTGTTAGTAAAGTTCGTTTAGAGGTTAAAAATAAGAATTTAAAAGGTTTTGTTATTTAAGTCAAAAGTTTGTTTAAAATGAACAGAAAATAAACAAATGTGGTTGAATTCAGGAATTAGAGAATAAAACTAACTAGCTAGAAAACATTTAATAGGCTGGAGAAAGAATTTGGGTTTTTATTCTGGAGGATCCAGATTTTAATTTAACCTGAATTTCCACGGATGAACACCTGAACAACCTCAGTTAAGAGAAACAGAGACCAGTTAAAGCTAACTTGACAAGCATCAGTCTCTATGACTCAGGCTCATCCCTTGAGTTATGTTTTCAGTCTCAGGTGTCCTGATCCATCTCTCCTCTCTCTCCTGCAGCGCTCTACTCCCCGGTTCGGGCTGTCCCTCTCAGACCGAGGCTCCACCCACCAAACAGCCACAGAGCAGCGTCTCCTCGCCAGTCTTCCCCCCTCCACCCCGTCTCCGCAGCGCCCTCGTCCCTCAGCAGGACTCGGCCCGGGATAAAGAGCTGTCCGTTGACTCAGACCCTGCTGGGTCCAGGTCCGTCCCAGCGTGTCCCGTTATCGTCCTCCAGTCCGTTTGAGCGTTCTGCGGCGAGGCAGCTTCAGATCATCGCCCTGTCGTCAGGTCGGCAGCCCCACCCCGGCCACGCCGCGCTGGAGCCGCCCGAGCTGTCCGGCCAATCAAAGAGGAGCGAAATCTTACTTCCTCTTCCTCAGACCTCCTCCTCCTTAACTCCGGGTCCGACCTCTCCTTTGAGTCAAACCCTGACCCAAAAAGTAGAGCTGAAGGACAGAACCGAGCCGGGTGAGAAGATCAGAGGAATCAAATCCGGAGTCCGAGATGAGTGGAACGCCACGAAAGACGTC